AGTAGCGATGTTTCATACCAGCTGACCAGTTTAGAAAATACAAATGCTTTTGCCCCCCAAGCAGTGACTGCCATAACAACTCCCTTCCTGACAGTTGATCTGTTACCACATGTAGCTACTCCTGCAGACAGCCATATCTCTTCAAGTGTTTTTGAAAGAAGTGAGACTGCCAGTGTCTCTTCAAGTTCTACACTTGATATTGATCCTGTTCATATGTCTGCAGTTTCTGATTCTGACATGTCCATTCGTCACACTCTTCCTTTACCAGATGTACACATTTCTGTTACGGCTGTTCCTCCTGAAAGTGAGATCCCTGTAACTTTGAGTAGGTTGCTGGTTCCTTCTAGAGAATCCTCTGGGTTGTCACCCAGTATCATGTCCAGTACCGATTTGTGGTCTTCTGTAGTTGAGGATGACTACGATGAATATGACGATGGCTTCCCTGTAAGTAACTGTATCTCATGCACTTCCCATAGAGAAGCTCAGGATGTGGTAGTAGAGGAACAAAATACAAAGGTAAACAATAACAAGGATCAGAGCAACCTAATTATAAGCTCACATTCTGAGAAACCTGAAGAAAAAGAGAAAATCTCGACTGCTGCATCAGTCAGTCAGATAAACCATGCCATGGACAGACGAAATTATACATCCATACTGACTCTGACAGCAAATGTGATACCTGAGAAGCACAACAACCTGACAGTTTTGGAGAACCACATTCAAACTGCTAGTGTCCCATTGCAAAATACATCAGAGTCTAAGTCTTGGGCTGTTTTTACAAGTGATGAAGAAAGTGGTTCTGGCCAAGGTACCTCAGATAGCCTTAATGATAATGAAACCTCAACAGATTTCAGTTTTCCTGACCTTAATGAGAGAGACACTGAAGGGGCAGTTGAAGCAGGTAACTCAGAATTAACTCCTGGATCATCACAGTCATCAGCTTCATCTGTTGCTAGCAATCACTCATCAGTATTCAACATCTCTGAGGCAGGTTAGTTATGACTAAGTCTAATGAATACAATGGAAAGCTGTGAGGGGATACTTTCGTGCCATAGAGAATAAGAAGCTTTATCTACATATAATAACAGGAGAACATAACAGTGCCAGTGGGTGTGAATAAAAAAGCATTGGGGAGCAGGGGATTGCATGCTGACCTGGCTGTCTTGTGAATGTTACTACTGGCTACTTAAAACTGCACCTGAAATATTCGTCAGTAAGAAGATTCATGCTCTGTTTTTGGATAGATGTGTACTGTCAGCAGAATTTGGGTGGTGCACAATCAAAAACCAGAATTTATTTTGATGTTAATTGTTTAATTTTACTTTTAAAAATTTAAGAGGGACATAAGTTCTCTGTATGAAGACAAGTGCTGCCCTTATGGAAACACGCCAGAGGAGACCATGCCTCTGCCAGACAAAACATACCTCTGAGATTCTCATTTTTAACTTACAGCAGCACATTTCCTTATTGTGGGTGTTTTTTTGTTGTTTGGGGTGTTTTGCTTATTTTCTAAGATGTATTGAGCAAAGAAGAAGATGTTTCAGTTTGATTCTGATTCATCTTAACTTATAAAAGCATTCATTTTTTTTCATTCTTACTCTGTATGTCACCTTCAGATTTCAGTGAGAGGCAGACTTTCTGTGCCAGATCTGCGTATTTCCAAAATACTTAGAGCCAGATTCTCCTATACCTGTTTATATTTATTGCTATTTTCTTATCTAGTTGTCTTAAAGTCAGTGAGAGTATTTGTAATCTGTGATTCCAAGGATAAGGTCAGAAGGCAAAACAGAACCTCACATAGATAGATATAAAGTATTTCCTTTGTATTTAAAAATTCATTGTGGAAAACTTGAAGTATCCAGACACATAATTTTCATTGCTTCTTGTTAGAGTATTGAAAAATCCAAGAGTGAAGTCAGAAACAATATCTATGATGTTTGGAAAAAAACACAACCCAAGGTTAAATTGGCATTTTAGAAAATAAATTGTACTAACATTAAGTACTCACAGCATCTCTAGAGGGCAGTATCATCCAACTGAATCCACTAAGGAATGGAATCCACTAAGCATGTGACACTTTCAGCATATTCCTACAGATACAGTTAAATCACATGAGGTCGTATTACTCATGAGCAACAGAATATTAAATCGACACTCTGTGTAGTTGAGGCTAATAGAATGTGAAAAATAGAAAATAAAAATTAAAAGAAAATAGAAAACATATTGAAATTAATAGGAATCCTAACAAGGTAGGTGTTATAAAACTGAATCAGTAAGTTAATTAGATCAGTAGGTAAGTAGTTGCCATATTATGTAAAATGCATAACATTTATTTAAAAATCAGCAAAAAAAGATCAGTATTTCAAAATTTATATTACTAATGTGAATGAGCATTACCTTAAGAGATTTATAGTTTACATAATGGGTGTCATTTGAATTGTTCCTGTTAATAATTCAAAAAGGATTATACGTTACTGGAGTAGTAGTAGTGGTAGTGCAACAGATTTTGTCTGTTTGTCTTCTAGATATTATTGAAAGACACTATACAGTATCATTTCATGTACATTATTTTTTCCAATAAATGATGCCAAATACTGTCTTTTAATAAACTGAAAATTCAATGTGAGCATGTCTAATATGGTGTAAATCAAAGACATCTTTGCTTTAATTCAATTATAAAGCAATGAAACAAGAAAACAACCCCTCAGCTGACAACTTATTTATACATTACAGTGAATTAACCAGAAATTGATATAATGTCTTTTTCTTGTGACCATTACAGAAAAAATTGTCGTTTAAATGTTTTCTGTCAGTTATTTGGGTGTGAAGAAATCTACTCTAGATGATACTGTCCTTTCAGCTGCCACCATTGGAATGATGGCCAAGTAGGCAGGAGAAGCCTGCTCTTCATTCCCCATAGAAGGAACGCTGATAGGATTTGATCGTGCAGTTTGAAGGAATTCTGTCATCACAGATAAGATTTGGTTTTATGCTGTGAGTTAGTTCAGGAGTGGGATAGCCAAGTATGAATGCTTCAAAGGGATTGTATTCTGATCTTTCATGCATACATGGAGTTTCTGTTGAAATCAATAGGAAATAATGATTTTAGCCTACTCACCAGAAACTTGGGGACAGATTTTTTTGAGACACAACTTGTGTCTGCAATCACTTTGCACACTGAGCTGCAGGATTTAACAAGTAATGATTGATTTAAGTGTTTGAGTACTTTGAACTAAAACCAAGTAGATGCTTGCAAGATCAGAGCCTAGCCTAGATCTTTTTTGCGTATAAAGTCCTGAAAGCCCCTAAACTCAAGAAAATGGAAGCGGAGAGCTCCTGGAAATCTGTACTGTGTGAAGTTGTTTGCTTTGTTGTCTTTTTATTTTTTTAAAGGTACAACTCCATTCCCTCTTTTATTTTGTCTGACAGTTTTTTATTCATATAGAATTGGTCCCTTGATATCTCAGTGGAGTGCAGCTGATTTCTAGAGAGCAAAATTCTGTTCTCATACAGGATATTCACTGCATTAGGAGTGTTCACAAAAGCAGAAAACATTCTTAGAAAATTTAGGGGTTTAGTTCTAACAGTTGCCAAAGTATTTGTTTCCACATTTTAACTCATATAATGGTCACAGATCACATTAAACTGTACAGATTGAAAAGAATTAGTCATTTTGTGTCTAAGACACAGGTTTAAAGTGTTTACTTTCTGAGGTATGACCAAAGTTAAAAATGCATAATTGGTCTTGTTCACTGTTGTGTTCCCTTATTTTAATGTCATTATAAAATACATTGTTTCAATCTTCATACAGATTCCTCTGCCCAAATTATTCTGTCATGCAGCATTTCAGAGTTGACAGAAGTGTAAAATCTAGTCAATATCTAAATAATACTTTGATTGCCTGTAAATATGGAGGAAGGAAATTCAATTCTGGCTCAAGTATAATTGGGCGAGGAAGTACTGCAAGTTGATTCAAAGGAAGCAAGATGTGTCTATAAGGCAAGTTACAGAATGGACAAGTTAAAATACAGAAGGTTTAAGTGCAGTACAGCAAGCACATAGTGACTATTGTAAGAAAATTTTCCTATTAATCTAATAGTCAGAGAAGTGATTAGCGTTATATGAGTAACAGTTTAATATCGAAGTGTTCTTTACACATTCCAGTATTAAATATTTAGAATCCTTAACTCGGTTTTCAGCTAATAAACAGATGAAAATGAAAAGCTTTCTTCTACTATATGTTAACAACAATCTGCTATTCTTACAAAGAGAAGTCTCCACTGCTGGAAGGCTGAGTCACATAAGCTTGAACACTTTGCTTTACCCTCTGTCTGCTTATTTTCTGTAAGCTGGTTTGCAAATGTATAAGCTTTCTGCAGTACGTAGTAAAAAATAGAGGTAAGTGGTATTAAGTAGGCTCATTATAAGACTCATTCACTCGTGCTGTATGTTTGTCAGAATTTAAACATGGACTGTTTCAATTTTCTCTGACTGCAGAGGCAAGTAATAGTAGCCATGAGTCTCGTATCGGTCTAGCTGAGAGTCTGGAATCAGAGAAGAAGACAGTTATACCACTTGTGGTCGTATCAGCCCTGACTTTTATCTGTCTAGTGATTCTTGTGGGTATTCTCATATACTGGAGGTAAGTAGTTTTTTGGTTGGTTTTTTTTTCAGTTCTAAAAAGCTCTGATTTGAAAAGTGTGATAGTCATTACTCAACTGGTTTGCAGGAGGGAGACAGGATCTTGTCTCTCACTGTGTCTTTGTATTGCTCTCAGTGCTGCAGTGTCATAAAGCTGACAAAATAAGGTGGTTTCTGTCCAAGATACACAACTACAATTCTTTTTTCTCTGGCTGCAGAGGGTTGAACCATTGCAAATAATTTATTTCCATATTGTGAGATATTAGTAACTTACTTGTGATTATTAATACCTAGAAGCCAAGCAACTTAACAGAGCACTGAGAAGAACAGGAAGGATAAGAAAAATAAATAGCATGGCATGGGTTTGTTTCCTGTCTTTCCAGTACTTTAATGTTAAAAAAAAGTAGTCGTCAATTTAGGATGAGAATCTATATTCCTGAAAAGGACTATGTGAATAAGCAATTCATTTAGGACTGTAGGAGTGTGCTGTAGCTGACGTTGTATGCCAGACAGAAATGGGATAGTATAATAGTATAAATGCTTTAAGATCACTTACTGAGTAGCTCATATGATGTTCTGTGATTTAAATGTTGTTCCACTTCGTAATTCTGCCTATCTCCAAACCAAAATTTGCCCCCTAGCCGAAAGCATTCAGTGAGTAACTAAGAATGCATTTCATGTGCACACACATACTCAGGTTCTGGGCCTGTTTCTCTTTGACTTGATTAGTCAATAAGATATTAAGAAAAAAAATAGGCTAAAAAGAAGCTATAGAATACATTCTATCCCTGAATACGTTAGATCTTAAGAAAATGAGTTTGAGCTTCCTTTATTCCAGGCAAGCGTGCTAGTGAGTCAGCAAGCCTTCGGGATGATTAATGACACTTTTGATCAATTAATTTTCAGAAATATTTCTTTTTCTTTCCAAAGAAATAGTTATTTGCTGCAGGAATTGCACAACTCATTTCTTAGTTTTTGTCTAGTTGGATAATTATACTGTCCATCACCTGATTTCCAGCTAACCACTTTCATGTTGAGAACCTTTTCCTATATTTCATGTTACACAACATGAACATTCATATTCATCTTCCAAAGGGTTTCATCCCTGAAGCTAAGTAGTACTTGAAATCTCTTCTGTTTGCCGAAGAACACCATCCATTTTAAGACCCAGATTGTACAGTCCTAGTTCTCATAATCCTACACGTTACAAGCTTGTTTTTGTCGAAAAACATTGTGTTCATTTTGTATTCTTTCTCTGGGAATGAACAATTCTGTAACATAGGTCTTTCAAAATAAAACAAAAATCCCGTTAGCAGTAATATCTTCTTGAACTTGAATTTAATCTTTTCTGTATTTCTTGTGTACTACAAAATAAAATATGGAGCTCTTTTTTTGTTAATCCTTAAGAAAATTTTCTTGGCATTATGTTAACACCAGTAACATGTTTCTTATTTCAGAGGAAGGAAATATAAACTATGTATTGTAGGTAGGATGTTGTGGCCCTCTTTCAAAGCACCCAAGACCTTCACCTGTTTTTCAAGCCTAGGAAAAATCAGAACATTAACTCTATTGCTATGCAGTATTCTTTATGCCTGGAAAATATTAGTATAAAGTCTATAAGCATTTTTATGGTTACATTTAGTTTATTTTGAAATAATGGATGTAAGCTGTCAAAGTTTCTTTTTATAATGCTTTTTTATGTGGGCCAGTTATTCTCAATTATTGAAGTTCATAGAAAGTTTAGGTTTGCAAGAAGTTATTCTATATTCCTTTGGCAACAGTACTAAAAAAATTGCGTTGGTCTATAGCTGGATATTTGAGTGAGCAGTACTTTGAGTTGTTTCCACTATTAGATCCTAATTTGAATATGCCAAATATGTGTTTAATAAACAAAAGGTGTGTTATTTGGTTTGAAACCCAAATAACTAACAATTATCTCAAAACTAAAAAAAAAGGCAAAAGTATTTTGCTCTTCACTTGAATGACTTGTATCAGAAAAATAATTCTGTACCATCTGTTGTTTGGGTTTTGGTTTTGTTTTTTTTACATAAAATTGTTAATCAGCACTTGAGGAAATTCCCCAATCTCTTCACTGTCTCATTAAGCACAATTTCAATCTTTCTGTGATAAAATATTCATTTCTCTGACAGGGATGAAAACTTTTAGTGGCAATATTGTCTAAAGATTGTCTAATTGCCAGTAGGGAAATACGCAATTTTGAACTGCTCTAGTTCTATGTATCAAATCTTTTGTAATTCAGGCAATTTTCAAGCAATGTCATTTTCCTTTCATTTCCTCAGCATGATTAAGATTACAGAGGAATAAACAAGGAGATTCTTTTACCAGTTCTAATGGCCTTGTTGTCCAGATAGATGGTTTTTTATAGCTTTAGAGAGCATTTTTAATCCAAATCTAGAGCCTATGAATCTCTCTCAGTATCTGTCTGTTTGACTGAGTCCTTGCAGAAGAGGTGCAACAGGGAAATTTGAATCTTCTTGCCCTGTTCTTTTCATTTCTGGATGGCTTCATACTTCCCATTTTGCTGAATTAACCTTGTCTGTTAAAGTGACTGAAATTGAAAGTTTCTCTGGGATGACATATTATACTGAAAATTGATTATGCATGTGTGTACTCTTTTGGAACAGGCCATAGAAGTGATCATTGAAAATAATCCTGGTGAAATGATGTACAGGAGGAAATGTCAGGCTATTTGTGCAACTGAATTTTTATAAAGGTTATCACAAGAAAAGCTTGGGAAATAGTAAAATTGCAACAGTTGTCAGCGGGAGTTCTAGCATTCGAGATTCTTTTTCCAACAAATACGTGTGAATCTCAGGTAGAGACTAACTCCAATAATGTGAGCAGTAAACTGCTAATGCAGTTCCAGCTACATTTCTATCTGTAGACATACTGAATATCAGCTGGCTGTCATGAAGCCTCCTAGAAGTTATATGACAACAGTGCTTCAGAAATTACCAACCCAATGACAGACAACCCCCTGAGCAGTCATTTAAATTTTGACTTCCCTCTACCACCTGATACCTTTGAAACACAGCTGTAAAAGAATGTTCATTTTCTTATCCATGATTTGAACTGTTGCCTTGAATCCTTTGTTAGACTTATGGGCACAGAGTTGAGAACCCTCTCTAAGGTTAGTTAAACTTGCACATGCAGAGACACACTAAAAACAGATTTAAACTTACAAAGGCCACACTCATCCATCCATGAAGGAAAAACATTTTATCCAGGTGACATCAAGTTATAAATAAAAGAGCTAATAAAATTTAGAAGTTAAAATTTCAGCTGACAAGCACTTAAGAATTAATTGGAACCATTAAAAAAATTAATTATTTGAATTATTGGATCTCTTGAGGATCTATTGAAGGATCCTTTGGAAACATTGGATCTTTAAATCATTGGAACCATTAAAAAATAAATTAAATCAGTGTTTGAGGATATCTATTAGCAGATATCCTGTGAGCACAAAAGACCCTGAAATTCTCAGAGAAATAAGTAATTGTGCTTCTAAGACCATTCTGGGCAAGCATGGGATGTGCAAACCCATCCTGCCACAGATGCCTCTGACTTTGGAGGTTCAGCTCCCTTCCTCAGCTGACATGAGTGGTGAACACCCTGCACATGGGCACACTCGTACACACAAAGAGCCATGCTGTGTTGTCTGCCTCGGTGACAATCCCAGACAAGCTCTGAGCAGTCCCTGCCCCAGGGGAGAAGTAGGCAGCACATAGAATCATAGAGTCATCTAGGTTGGAAAAGACCTTTAAAACTGTCGAGCCAAGGTCCAGGGGACCAGAAAAATTATGTCCTCTGCAGTCTGAGGCGTAGTCTTGTCCCAAGTAGTTGATCTTTAAGTGTTCATTCAGATCTGGTATCCCTCCTGTTAAATCAAAGAGCTGCTGCTACATGCCTTCCTGTACAGATACAGGCACTAATTAATTCAACGGCTTAGCACTATCTCCATATATAAAGTGTGTGTTCAAAGAAGTGCAGTGTCTAAATTACAAATTACAGCTTTAGGTTGAAGATCTAAATGCTGCAATGAAAGGTGTAAATTAAATAATCAGGTTAACGTTGAGTGACAGGACCTTTGTCTGGAAGTTTGAAGTAGTCATCACTTTTTTCATTAACAACAGGTGATAATTAATGAGACATGGTTATTAACATTAGGTTTAGTCATGAAGGCTTTCACTGCTGATGCAGAAGCAGATGGAGTGCCTATTTGTGAGTCTTATTATAGGTTAAATCAACTGCTATGAATTTGTCTCCCAAATGTGCTAAGGGTGTAATTTATTTTCAGCCACAATTAACTTGTTAAAGATTAAAGATACAGTGGCTCAATGAAGGATAGAGAATGTACAGCATACTATGAGGACATTTTAAGTACCGCTTTAGATGTGAAAGCCATTATGCTAATTAAATTCTTGTTAGCTCAATTTTTTCTCAAGCAAGGAGGTGACAAAACTCTGTGATGTCAGTCCATAAACTTTATGTATGATCATTGTTCATAAGGAATAGGCATTAGGGAGACGACATTTTTTGGTTTTAGAGCGCAAAGCATAGAATCATAGAGTAGTTTGGATTGGAAGGGACCCTTAAAGATCATCTAGTCCAACCCCCCTGCAGTAAGCAGGGACATCTTTAACTAGATCAGGTTGCTCAGACCCCTGTCCAATCTGACCTTGAATGTTTCCAGGAATGGCTCATCTACCACCTCTCTGGGCAACCTGTTCTACTCAGGCTGGTTGGTTTGTTGCTGTATTTAATAAACACAGTACATCAGCATTCTTGGTGCCCAGCAGACAGGGCTAGACTTCCCAAAAGTGTTTACTGATTTCAAGTACTTTGATATTTGCCTTTAATGTAGCTGTCCATTTTTTTGTGTGTTCTGAAAGAATTTGCATTGTAGAGAGACAGAAAATTCCCACCTCATTCCGAGAGTATGTACATGTTTCACAGAGGCTTAATTCAAATAAGCTTATCAAAGTCTTTATGATCTACATTAATGGTTCTGTAAAGCATGACAATATCCATGTATCTATTTCACAGAATCACAGAACGTTAGGGATTGGAAGGGACCTCAAAAGATCATCTAGTCCAATCCCCTGCCAGAGCAGGAACACCTAGATGAGGTTGCACAGGAAGACGTCCAGGCGGGTTTTGAACGTCTCCAGAGAAGGAGACTCCACAACCTCTCTGGGCAGCCTGGTCCAGTGCTCTGTCACCCTCACTGAGAAGAAGTTTCTTCTCAAATTTAAGTGGAACCTCCTGTGTTCCAGCTTGTGCCCATTACCCCTTGTCCTATCATTGTTTGTCACCGAGAAGAGCCTGGCTCCATCCTCGTGACACTCACCCTTTAAATATTTATAAACATGAATGAGGTCTCCCCTCAGTCTCCTCTTCTGCAAACTAAAGAGACATTTCTCAGTGGCCTCAAAATTTCTTTTTTAGTATAACATTTATATGAGGGGCTTTATCCATGCAGTGTTACAGGAACTGCAAGGAAGAATTTAAAACACCAGTGATTACACAAAATTGCAGAAGATCATATAATAGCTTCAGCCAACAGCCTTGAAGAAGCACAATCTTGTAAATATAAAATGAGATTAATATTTTCCTGATGCATATATTTCTTTTTAAATTTAGTGATTAGTGAATATTTCAAATAGATTCAGTGACCCAGAGTAAAGATTGTTATTAGCATGTCTAATCATACGGAGATTTTTTTAATTAGGGAGGCTTTGCAGCAGCAGTTGGTTGTTTGGTCCCTTGAATAGCTTGGACTCTTAACAGATGTTACTCTTATTATCTTCACATCTGGATTACAGCACAGATACAAATAACATTGTGGGTCATAGCTAAGATTGACTCCAGGTGTATTCATCCTTCAATGTTTTTGCAACAAAGCTGGCACCTCCTGGAGTTATAAATTCCCCTGTTTCTGTTTGTTGACTTTGGGAAGTCCTTCATGGTTAAGGTCCCTCAGTGTTGCAATTTCATGATGAAAAAATTGTTTAGCCCCAGTCATAGTAGTTCCAGAGCCACTGTTTTGTCTGCTATAGGGCATGTTGCCTTTTATTGAATTTCCGTGTGTGCAGTAGGATCTACTGATGAATTGGCGAAACTGATCTCATACACTGCTCCATCTTCAGGCTAGCATAATCACAGAAAAGGGAACAGTAATTATGTGTGTGAATTTGGATAAGCAAGGAAGACAATGGCATTTTTTATACTTGGAGTTTTTGTGCAGCATCTACAGTAGCTCCTGACACAGAGCTCCTCTTCCAGCTTTCACTATGTCTGATGTGTGCTCTATCTTCTGCCTCTGGTATAGGTAAAGATGCATGATCTATTCATTATGCTGAGTTAATGTAGAATCTTCAAGTTGTATGCATAATTTGGTGGTGTGTTGGGGGAATATTTATATTATAGCAGTAGCATTTGACACTCTGTGGAAACTGTTTTCAAAACTGATTTCTTTCTTATACAATAATGCCAGAATTCCAAAAGGTCTCAGATAACGTTGGGGTTTTTTGCAATATTTATTTTTGTTTCTTCCCCTCTAGGAAATGTTTCCAGACTGCTCACTTTTATTTAGAAGATAATACATCACCTCGAGTGATTTCTGCTCCACCAGCTCCAATCTTCCCAGTCTCAGGTATTTTTTGTCAGCTGTTCTGTGGATTGGTGTTAGCCGTTGGAAGATGCTGCCTTGTATGTATCCATATGAATTCTTCACATACTTCAACATCTATAAACCAGAGATGTGTACCCTCTTGAACTAATAAACCCAGGTGCACTTGGCAGAGGCACAGATTAGTGTTACTAATTTTCTCTCCTGTAGGTAACACAGAAGAGAAACATCCTCACCTTACAGAATTGTCTCAAAGATACGCTGTGCCTTCTAGCCATCTGAGGTGTTTCCTCACTAGAAATGGCTTCTAGTGTAGCCGTCTGACTACATAAAATAGTTCTAGTTCATTGTAACAAAGCAGAGGATTAATTGCACCAGCATCAGTCTCCTATATGTCTTTCTTTAATTGAATTTGTCACATTCGTGTGGAACATGACCTATTCTTTTTACCAGCAGGACCAATATATGCCTCATCTGCCTGCATTTCATTTGCGGTTACGATGTTTTCTTTAACTGATAGATTTTCCTAGCATGTTTACTACTGGAGAAGTTCTGTTAGCCTCTAAAAAATGATACACAAGTGCAGAATATTATTAGTATCTTCTGGTTCCATGTCCATCACAGCTATTTGGAGAAGCTGTTTCTTTTCTTTCCTCCTCAAAGAGTATCAGAGGAGCACATGCAGCCATTCCAGCTTTTTCAATCTGAGTAGAATGAAAAGTACCTTAAACAGGTATAATCCTGCAGCAGATCCCGAGCCATATTTTCACACATAAGAAAAGGATATCTTGTTCTGCAAGTAATGCTTTTGCAAACTGTGCTATTACACAGGGGGATGGGTTCCCTTGGAGTGACTGAGGGAAGCAGAATCAGCCTTTGTATAGATAACGAGTAAATACATTTATTAAATGAATTCCAAACATTAAACTTCTGTTGTAATGGAATTGTAGGCATCTTTAAATGCCGCTTGTATTGATTGCTGTTGTTAGGAGATGCATAACCTTTTTTTAAATGGTTAATAGGTAGGGATATAGCTTGGTTTCAGAAAACATGTCATTATATATGAATGTCAAGTGGCAATCATTATAGGAAATCTCTGCTCTTACTCTCTATCATTAACTATAGTGCAGTACAGCTGTATCATATTCTTGCAATTTTTCCTGACCAGCTCACCTCAGGGAGATAGTGTTTTCCATTGTCAAAAGACAAAATTGCACTTACAGTTATTCTGAGTGCTCAAAATATGTGTTTTGATGCTGGAGGTTTTCCTTTTGAGATACTGATAAAGAGAAAAGTGTTTCTAAATGACTGAAAGATACATAAAATATTTTGTGGAAAAAGCTGCAAGCACTGAGGAAATATTTTTGTTTTATTTTGAGTGCAACAGATGTCAAGTGAGCAGTTTTTGTGTTTTCTATTGCACAAGTGTTTCAGCAGTGTAATTCTACAGCAATTGAAACTAACCATGATATAATACTGGCAAAGAGCATAGAGCAGCAAGAACATTTTGTAACTGCTAAGTTTAATTTCTTATTGTAACTATGACTACAAACACACTCCACAGATCTCATTATACATTAAGTTTTTCTTCTGTGGGGTTTCATTGACAGAGATAGGAGAATTGCAGTTATTCACAGAAAAAGGCACTTCACAGCATGATTCAGAGACATGTTCAGAAAAAATAATGAATTACAGGGTAATATTAGGGCCCACTATCAACCTTTAAGTAGTTTCAAGGGATGGCTGCCATCCAGATATAAAATATATTCCTGGATTCAGAAGTGATTGAATTGGGAGATTAGCACTAGCAAGGAAATAAAACATTAATTACACCAAATCTAAGATCTTTCTCTCCCTTACTGTTCTTGCTCTTATGATCATCCACCTTCCCTTCTGTTTTCGTGTTTGCATGTCATTAGAATCAACACTTTATGCCAGGTTTCATCTCTGAAGTGTGAAGATAGTGTTACACATTTATTCAGCTTCTCTTAGGCTTGACTGGATAAATTTGCTTTTTGTAGTCAGATCCATTCATGTAAGACCAGATGAATCTCAATACAAATCAAATTCTTCATAACTGAAAACTAAAGTTCTTAGGTGGCCTAAATGGTGAACATCTGTTGATGTAAATAACAGGTCCTTGTTCAATGTTTTCTTTCTTATATGAAGCAGTGATAACATTACAAATTGTGAAAGGCTTTTTAAAAAAAGTTATTATTCTTCAGAACCAAAACTAGCTGTAATAATATCATCCTTTATCAGGTAATTAACAGAACAGATTACTTTGTTTACCTAGCATACTTGCAGGAAAGAGAAGATTGAAAGTGCCAAAGGTTTTTGACATCTTTAATGGACATTCTACACAAGTGTGTTTTTCAGCATTTGTATAAAGTCAAAAAAGAGATGTTCTGAAGTATAAGCATCAGATGGAAAATTCAGACTCTAGTATCAGGACCCAGAAGTTGTGTAAATCGTATTTATTGAGGGAATATACATATCATCTTTGTGGGTATCCAGAAAGTCTTAAACTTAAACCTTTCACTTAAAAGCTGAAGTATAAAGCTTGATGTGAAAATCTGTAGTCAGTACTCCCACAATTAGACATAAGATTATTATCAATAGGTAATAGTAGAATCCTGGAAAGAATGGGAGGAAAAATCCTTACTGGAAGTACTCTCTCATGCAGTAAAAGATGAAAATTAGTAGTTGTTTCCTTTACAAGCCAATGCAAACATGCAAACATACATCAGTTAAAATTATACTACTGCCATAACACTTCACAGGTTTCACTGGCATGGGACTGTGCAGCCAGTCCATGTCCTGTGTCAGAATCCTAGTGCAGCACTGATCAGCCTAAAGCACCCAGACTCCTCTGCCCCATCATTCTTTCTTTACTAGTATTATTTGGAGCTCTGCTCCTACCCTCTTCCATTGAACATCTCATAGCAAACTGCTAAACCTCGCATTTCCCCTTGACTTCAAGGTAGCTCTGAGTGCTCTTCAATTTGCAGACAAGCTCAGCATCTTGCAGAATCATCACTTTGATTTTGGGGGCTTAAAGACAGAGCAAGACGTAGCAAGGCATTTTCTATATCTTCTTTCTGAATAGTCATTTAGAAATGTGTAATTGCTGGAGAATTGTTTTAGAAATGTTAGTGGTGTTAAAGAGTGTTTCTATTTTTTGTGAGAGTTGTGTATCCAAAGTTCATGCCAAAAAAATTTATTTCAGGATGTTGTGTGGATTGCCTACACATAAACTTCTTTCTATGTCACTGGCTTTTTATTCCTCATAAATATATTTCTTGTCTTTTCCCATCCCTAAGATGATGTTGGAGCAATTCCAATAAAGCATTTTCCAAAACATGTTGCAGATTTACATGCAAGTAATGGTTTTTCTGAAGAATTTGAGGTATGGCTTTATGACGTCATCTTTCTTCTTAGCACATACAAATAATGTTAAGTTTAAATGCCTAGAAACAAAGAACTGGGCATTATGTTCAGACTTGGGGACCAATTTCAAAAATGCATGTAAAAATGAGTACTATGAGCCCAGTAGGGACTGTTTATGGATAAAGACTAAGGAGATTTATAAAAAATAACAGGACTGGGATGCAAATGGGAATATTTAACACTGTTGTAAGTACTAAGTGATTGTGCGAATAAACTATGCAAAGATAGTGCAATCTATATGGTTTATCAGATAGAGTTGTAGATCTAAAGTTTTTCCAACACTAATGCTGATTGAATTTTGCAGAAGCTACCCACATTTGCTTGTTCCATTTACAGAGAAAAAAGTATGGAAGTAATTATGAATACACGTGGCAAGACTTCTGATTAACAGGGGAGCTAATGTAGTCTTCGTATGTGGTAGTGAAAGCTTTACAGTTCCTTTCCTAAAATATATGGTTTCTAAGAGGTATTTTAAAACTTTGACACACATGCTCTCATCATATAATGTTACTATTACCACACGTAACTAATGAACTTCATTGTTTTTCACATTCATATGCATTACAAGTTATTTAAAGACAGATGTGTCTAACTTAAATAAAATAAACATTTTAAGTTCAAACTTTGTAACTAAAGCTGTGCTATTAAAATTCTTGACAAATGATTTCTAACAAAATGAGTCAGTTAGCATGGAAACAAGTTTTTTAATTGGTCTCAATTTAAAATTGTAATATAACTGCAAAACCAATACTGAAAGTAGATAAATGCATAATTTCACATGTTTTAGTTTTGCTTTTGTTTCCCCAGCCAATGTGTTGTGATCTACTGGATCAAATATTCCATGTCATTCTCCTAACCTTCTTCATCAGCATTTCTTCTCCAGTTCATTTAACATTCAGAATACCCACCTGATTGTGGGACCAAACTTGTAAATACTTGTGAATAAGCAGTACATGTCCATGTGTTACACATGTGCATATGCACTGACAGGACTAGGCTCCAGCCAGTCTGGCTGTTAACAAGAGCAGTAGTTGAAGGATTGTTTAAATACAATGTGACAAAGTTCTTTCACCATTAGTGAAGACAGCAATACAGGAATCAAATTGTTCATCCTAAATTGTTCTTTTCCTAAAAGTATTCTGTACCTAAATTACAGCAGTGATCCAAAGACAAATATGCTGCATCTCACTGGGCTACACCTACACCATCTGAAATATTTCATGCTTGTTTTAACTATTGCAAAATACTCAGTGTCCTTATCATTTTTTGAGGATCCTGTTTAGCTTTCCAGAGTACCCCAGAATTAGTTCCCCAGTTCTTTTCTCTAGTGATAAAGAACTTAGAAGATATGGAAAAATTGAAACACAGTCACTGTCTTTGCAGAGCCAGCATGCCTTTGGAGAGGAGAGTATGGGGGTGGTTGAAGCTTTTTGTTTCTATTATTATAAAACAACTCATATTTAAAATCTAATTTTCAGATTGGTGACCACTTTTTATATATATACTTAAATAGCTGAAGGTGAAAGTGATGAATATTAAAATCCTAAAAATCTTGGGAAACATCATTATAGTACTTTTACTTATTATAACATATTTTCTACTTAACAATGTGGACCTTATAAATGCTTGAGTTTCCTGTCAGTTAAAGTAATCAATAAAATAAAATAGTTTTGTTATTTTTATAGATTTTGCACCTGCCTTCTCAGGTCCGTCTCTTTCTTTATAAAAATGTTAAATTTCTCAATGGGCTCATTGAGAAACTGATGGCAAACTGAGGGCTGGGCTGCTCTCCTTCACCAACAAAGGTTTTACAGCTGAATACAGAGAGCAAAAGCAGTCCACAGAGAAACTAATGCAGTTATAAGGACCAATAACAAATCCAACGAACAGTTAAATATATAGATAATCTGGCTAAAGTCAGCGATGTTGCTCATATTGTATAAGTTTTTGCCAGCCTAAGGTCTAACATTAAAGCTAAAGATAGGAAAACAGATGCCAGTATTTTAAACAGGAAATTAGTTATGTCTAAATATTCAGCTTTGTTATTATTATGGAGATATATATTGCATGACCATAACTGTTTTCCATATAGTAATTGTAATTTATATAAACACTTTTATCCATTTGTTCTGTGCTGTGGAATTTGATTTTTTTTACTTTTTTTGCATTCATTCCCTCATTAGACACTGAAAGAGTTTTATCAGGTAAGGAATTGTTTCACTGCATTTTTTTTAGCAATGAAGTAGTTGTAAAATATAGATAATTTGGTATAAGGTTGTGGTTCTTTTGTGCTGACTTAATTGTATTTTAAGACATTTTGTGTTTCTTAATACTGCTAAAGTATGACATACTTTTTTTTTTTCAGGAAATACAGAGCTGTACTGTAGATCTAGGTATTACATCAGACAGCTCTAATCACCCAGACAACAAGAATAAGAATCGATACATAAACATTGTTGCTTGTAAGTAAATGCATCAATTGGTGTTTTGTTTAAGAAATAAGTATAGACAAGTATAGATTTATATGTTATTAGAGGAAAAAAAATACCTCTACATTGAAAGCTCTGGCTATTCTTCAGCAAAATGCTTGGAGAGGAGTAGCGTGATATTTCACGTCTCTTCCAGTTACTCCTCTGGCATTCTACTGCTTTGATGAGCATGCGTTAGCAAGACGAATTTGTGTCTTCTGTGATGACCCAAAGGGAGTTGGGAGATTTCATTATAATGCCATTATAAAGCCAAAGAAGCTGTGTTTTGATTGCCAAAATTAATCCATCTTTGATCTGGAATAATGATGATTTATCCTCTCTAGGAACTTCACAATCCTTGGATATATTTACTGTCATAGATAAATATAAATGTGCTGGTTTTATGTTGTATTGTGCCCTGCCACAGTGTAACAGATCAGCTTCATTAGTCAGGATGTATCTTTTCCCATTGCATTGCCCTTCTTTACTATCCCAGATTTTTCTTTCTTAAAACACATCTATTCAGTTTTGTTAATCTCTCTTTGAAGCTGTTGCTTCTGGGCTCTTGATCATTTTGGTGGCTTAATATATTTTTCTTAACTCTCTATAGCATTTAAACTTTGTTCTGATAGCAAACAGCTCTAAATTAAATACATATTCAGCATTCAGCATCACTACAGCTTAATAGAAGAAGAGACAGAATCAGCCCATCTGGCAAAAGACAACCTAAACCAGCAGCAAGAAATCCCATTCCATTTGGTTGAACGTACCTCTAGAGGGAAGGGAAGTCCGAGATTTTCCTCTGCCACTCCGTGTTTGTACCTGATGATACACAAGGTGCCAAACCAGGGGCTTTGTTGTCAAAGGGCAGTGAGCAAATAGCTTAGGGCAGTGCGAGTAGCAAGAACTGCCCTGTGCAACTGAATCAGGTCTCCAATCCATGTAATCAGTACAGGCTACAGAAAGCTTCAGCTCTCCCTGAAGCCTGAGGTAGCCACTGCTGAAGATCTTCAGCTAAACAGCTTCTCCAAGGTCCCATCATTTTCCAGGCTCTGCTCTCTTTAACTTGGAATGACTCTGCCCAAACACTGGTGCCTGCTTTCATCTGAGACATCCCAGCAGCCAGGACACTGTGCAGGCTTGGCAGTTGCAACACAGGACTTAGAAAAGACCCATGGCCCTTCACTAGCAGCAGCTGAAGGCCGTAGGGGAATATGTCACACTGCCTAAAACTACACCAGGTGCTGCTGTTCAGGCAACTAAACTCTGAATCCTTGAATCCTTGGATTCATCACTTTATTTTTCTGCAAACTAGAATTTTGAATCTGATTCATACGTAAGCACAGGATGTTTGCGTATGTGATTGTCTCTGTATTAGTCTTATCTATTGTGAAAAATCCATTTCAGTGTTTTAAAAAAATATTTCTTATAGAAAGAAGATAATTCTTGCAGGAAAAAATGCTTATTTTCTCATTTGTTTTCCTACAGATGATCATACTAGGGTTAAATTAGCACAGCTTGCAGAAAAGGATGGAAAACTGACTGATTATATTAATGCCAACTATGTGGATGTAAGTGCCCTTTTCTATCTGCCAGCCCATTCATCTCTCAGCCTTTTCTGTAAATACTGATGTTTGAAGGTAAATAGACTTAATTTAAAAATAACTAACACAATACTACAGATTTTGTTAAAAAAACCCTTTAATTATCTGAGTTAAGCCTACAAAGTTAATGCACAGGTTAAACTCCAATTCTTTCTTGAATCTATCTTGATATTGTAGCAGCTGCAGCTTAGTGAAGAGCTTTATAAAAAAAAAAGTTCTGTCATATCTGAGTCGTTTCAGAAGCATTTCGCATCTCAGTGTTTGTTCTTTTATCCATTTTTGGTAAGTGGTTAATTCTTCTGCCTGAGATAATCTCATGAGAGAAAGATGCCATTTGGCTGAGAGCCTCATCGAGGTACCATTTATTCAGTTTTTGTTACCCAGTAATTTACATGCAAATGATCTTGATTCATTTTTTAAACCACTATTGAAACAGATGTCTCATAATCACTATCTTATCAACATTCTGCCGGAACACGAGCACTTGAACATATATCCTGTTTGATGGAATGATAAACATTGACATAACAGTTTCATTCATATGTCATCTGGTACCACAGGTTTTCTGCGAATTGGTTAGTTATAAGTTCAAAAGTACCTAAAAGCTTTTGAGATTCTTTAAAAATAGATACATAAAATGTCATGTTCTCCTACCAACCTCCTCTTGCTCGCGGACTGTGATTTGACAAGTGTCATTTGTTATATTTCAATTTAGGGCTACAACAAGCCAAAAGCCTACATAGCAGCTCAAGGACCACTAAAATCGACAGCAGAAGATTTCTGGAGAATGATATGGGAACATAACGTAGAAGTTATTGTGATGATAACTAATCTCGTTGAGAAAGGAAGGGTATGAGTACCTTTGTCTGTTATTTATTTCTCTGATGTTGGTAGATCTACCTCTAGCAGACTCCTTTCTCTCTTTTAAAAATATGGTTTACGCGTTTAATGAGAAATAAACCCAGGAGTTTGTAGTAGTTACTTGTACTAGCATTGACTGTAGAAGTATGAAGTTGACAATTTGTAGTATGAAGCTAAAGAAAACTTTTAAACTCAATTGCCATTAACTGAAGTCTTGAAAATACCATGGTCTGACTATGAAAGACTGTCTTGTACTAAAAACAAGATTTCTTCTATATATTTCAGATTGGCCAGATTGTGGATCTTCTGCCATGTTCTGCTAGCAGTCTGCTCACCATTATTCTCTTTCCCAGGGCTGCCTTAAACCCAGGAAAGGAGAAAGCCATAGTTTGGGTGGATTATATTATTTTCTTTAGATTTTAGAGTGCCTACGGAATGGCAAGTTCCACAATATTAAAGTGCCTAATCTCTGATAGTTTGGTTTAAACCTCTCTTTTTTTTTAGTATTCCAAATAAAGAGCATCTTCGCACAGTCATCTCTCTTTACAGCACAAAATAAATACACATTATTTGTTCTCTTGCACTAAAGATCATGTCTATTATAAACTGCATATATTGACAGTCCCTATATCTTTTTGTGATTGACCATGTTCTCAAATTTGAACATTTCTGATTGCTAGTTCAACAATTTGTTTTCTTTTTTTCTCTGTTTTCATTTGTTTTCTAACAGAGAAAATGTGACCAGTACTGGCCTGCCGAAGGTAGTGAAGAATATGGGAACTTCTTGGTTACTCAGAAGAGTGTTCATGTACTTGCCTATTACACTGTGAGGACTTTTACTCTTAGAAACACCAAGATCAAAAAGGTTGGTGGCATCCTGAAAACATAGTTTGGGCAAAAGGGAATGTTTAAAGTTGCTCAGAGTATTTTTTAATATTAGGTATTATACGTAAAGCTGAATCCTGCAGGTGTCAGCCAGCCAAGGTGCTTGTCAACTGCAGCTAGTTTGACCAGGTCAACAAACTGGGAAGACACTGGCCTGTAATACTGGTGTGATGTAGGACTTTCAGGGAAAAAGCAGTGATCACTTTGGAGAGCTGATGTAGACTTTGCCTGCCTGGTGAGCAGAAAGACAGCAGCTAGTAGAAAATGTGGCATGAATTAAATTATCCACCTCAGCTCTCCATTTTCCTTTTTAAGGACAGGTGAGTTCACACCTTGGTTTATTGTCATCCAAACCAGCATGTTCTCAGCTCAGCAGTGTGACATTGGCTGCTTTGAGGGAGATTCTGAAAGCTTAATTTATTTTAGCCACCTAAATCTAGTCTTTCAGCCCCCCTGTACAATTAATGCATAAGGTACAACACTTACTGTCAGGCACTTTATTTTGCCTATTTTTGGAACCAGTCTTTGAGATCTCTGAAGGTAGCCTCACCTCTGAGATGCCATTAAGGGATGAAGCTTAGAAAAGCAGCCTACACAAGGCTACTTCCCTTGTAGATGACTTAAGCTGGGTGAGATGAATCCTACCCTTTCTGTCTGCCCAACAGGAGCATAGTGGCAGAAATACCAGGGACTCTTAACAGCAGCTGTAATTTGTTATTCCTCCAGTGCTCTTAACCTTTCTCTATGGCTTTCTAAGGGACAATGCCAGGTCATTTTTCCACTCAGTGGGCAAGCTGCTGCAACAGAAGCACTGGCCCTTCCTCTTCAATTTGAAAGCTGGAATATTCAGAGCTAGGTGGCATGCTGTTAACTAAACAGGGACTGTACTAATTCAAGAGCTATCAGGTACGTAAATAAAACTATGAAGAGCTGCCTTTTAAATGTAGGCTGCTTACATATGGGATTATTTTTCTGTTGCAGGGTTCCCAGAAAGGGAGGTCTAGCGGACGTATAGTAACTCAGTACCACTATACCCAGTGGCCTGACATGGGTGTTCCAGAGTACACGCTGCCCGTGCTCACCTTCGTGCGGAAGGCATCGCACGCTAAGCGCCACGCTGTCGGGCCTGTTGTGGTTCATTGCAGGTGTGGTTTTTACTGCTGTAAGGTTCACTCCGCTTTTGTTTTGCAGAAAAAAAACACAATTTTTCAGTGGTGGGTTGAGCAAAATTTCTCTCTCTCATTTAACAATTCCTGATGGAATAAGATTAATTTCTTAACTGGTATTTCTATCCTTAGTAAGGCCAACTAATCAACTGCCTGTGCCACTTCTATAAATCTCCATAATGGCTGTAAACAGGATGATGCTGCTCTGCATTATGTTTGGTTGTTGGGGTTTTTTTTGCAAAAATGCTTTTCTTTTTACTTTTTTCCACATTTCTATACTACTCTCTTGATTTCTGTGAGCATACCAGATACATATATAGCAGTAATTGTTTCAGTTCTGCAAAATATATCATTAGGAGGTTTTTGGCTTATGCTTGCTTTGGTGCAGGGATCCTCTGTAATCCTAAAAGGAGCTCGAAAGAAGACTCACTCTATTCCTGGCTGAACTACAACTCTGCTGTTTTTAACATTACTCTGCACTCTAGCAGTCACTTGCAATGGAGGAGCATTCTGGGGCACGGTTTAAAGTCTGCATGTGCTGCAGTGTACAGGCAGGTGTTCTGTCAGTGCCCACTAAAACTGGGCAGCTCAGGGAAAATTGGTTAAAAAAGAGCTTGTAGGGCCTGGAATGACTTCACAATGCCCGTGAAGGACAGGGTTATTGTAAAATATATAAGCAGGTTCTGGTTTTCCACTGTAGTACCTCAGCTTTGATGGAACATTTGGAAAGAGAACCTCCTCATGAATTCTGTCCTTCTGGAGCTGACTCTGAGGAAGCCAACAGGTAAAGTTGTCTCACAAATGCTGCAAATGAAGATATTTTATTTCTGGAATAACCTAATCTGACTGAAATCTGTTTTTAGCTTGGAAAATGAAAATTCCACATTTTGTTTGTTCTCCTGCTGTCTACATCCTGCCTGTTCAAAATAAGTTTCCCCAAAATACCAAGTCTGAGATCTATGCCAGCAGGCTGAGAGATCAGCAATACACTATAAGTCAGTTAAACTGAGTTTTTAAATAAGGAAGAGTGATAAGAGGTCAGTCAGACCTCTCCATTGGGTCATAGATATAACTCATCTCTGTCTGTAGGCAGTTTTATTTGGCTTTTAGTTCACCTGTCCTGATGCACTATGGAATTTCAAAGGAGTCATCTCATGTTAGAAATGTAACTTTTATTTCTCTTTACAGGCTACATGGAGGAACTTCATGAAACTTTTTTTCCCTATTTTTGTATTTTGGTACTTTTCATGTTTTGTCTTTTGTAACAAGTACAGATGGCATCTGGTAATCTTTACACTTTTTTGTCTCTAATAGTGTGTTAATATCCTAGACCTTTCAGTTTTATATCCCGTTTATGTAGACAGTTTATTACAGCAATCTTGGTTCACACTACCCATGCTTTGTGCCACCTCTGTGGAAGAAATGAGATGATTGAATTAGCTGTCTGGACTGAGCTTGGATCTGCCCATGAGGGACCACACAGAACTAGCCAAGTGTTGCTGTCAAGTTACACATGCCAATGCACATAACATTTTACATGACTTCAATTGGAATTACAACTGACTAGTTCCCATATATGACTAGATAAAAAATGACCTCTTGACTTTGTACTCTCTACTCATGTATTTTATGAATGAAGTTGTTTTTTAATCTTACAATACAGCCAGTTTTATGCTGAATCAGAGTTCATAACAGGAGTGAGTTGATTAACCCTTTCTTCTGCATCTTCCCCTTTTAAGAAGTGTTTCAACCATTGCTTGCCCTCTTAGCTGTATCTGGAGAGCGATAAGGTTTTTATATTACAAATGTACCTTCAGCAGCTCTGCCACTTCCTGGGGTTTTCCTCAGTCTGGTGTCTTTGAAACTTCCTATATCAGTAATGGGTAGCATAATGCAACTTTCCTTTTAAAGTGATGTGTGTTTCAACATGGAAGAACTTGGGCACATTAACCATATCCAAATGCTGACATATGCCACTGTTTCTAGGTATATGTGACAAAGTATTCTAAGGAATATCAGAAGCCTGAAAATCGCAGACCTGCAGGAAACCCCTTAGTTCTATTTCAATTGATACTTTAAAAATCATTTGAGAAAATGATCTTTCCATCTATTCTTGCACAAAGAAAAAGATGAGTTGAAAATATTTTTCATCATTACCAGCATTGAAGTTTTAGCAAAGTATCTCATATAATAAAATGGTTTGTAGGGGAATATCTTCCCTATGCACCAGTTTGTTGAAAAAGCTACGTATAAGAAACAGTTCTTTTCACTGTTGTTTTACTTCAGCCTCAAGACTATTTTTTTTGTTTTGTAGTGCTGGTGTTGGAAGGACAGGCACATACATAGTGTTAGACAGCATGCTGCAGCAAATTCAGCATGAAGGGACAGTCAACATATTTGGATTCTTAAAACACATACGTACCCAAAGGAACTACTTGGTGCAAACTGAGGTAAGACTGAAATGTAAATAGTGAGAGACCATTACAGACTATTTTTGTTTGCAGGAGGAGAGATGATACAGTCTTCTTTTTGTCACCATGTGACAGACTGGCAAACACTCACCAGACTGGATTTTGCCATTTGCTTCCCTTGTTTCTATAGAGACATCTTTCTAGTCCCGCTTAGGGCAATGCACTAGAAATTACCTGTCTGTGGGCTCTTGTCTGTTTATTAAGAAGGACTCAGGAGAAAGAAATTCTATATAAATCATCCTTCCTGCAGTAGCAGTTTCTTGGCAAGGCACGCATTTTTGTCATAGATTTTTTTTTAAGGAAACACCATTGTCAGGCTTTGAGATCTTCACTGAACCTGATCAAACAGTTTATATCAGGCAATAAAAGGTAGAAAAGAAAGCTATTTCAACAGACTATCTATAGCTACTTTAAACTAAAGATTATATACAGTATAGTGAAAGACCGGAAGAAAACAATAAGGACAACAGCAGGGCATTTAAAAGTATTTCAGGTTTCAATAACAGGTGGTTAGATTCCCCAGGGCCTTTCAGTAGAAAAAAAGGCAATCAACAACAGCATGGGCACTTGTTCCAAATGATGTGAGAGAGAAAGTAGAGCATGGCAGTAGGAATGGGGAGTGATCACTTTATTGCAAGAAAAACAGGGAGAGCCACATAACAAGCTGTCTTGAAAATTTGACTCAAGGCTATGCTTGCATTTTTAACTCTGTTCTGTAAACATGAGCTTTCACTGTAGAAGACCACACAGAATCACAGAACATTAGGAGTTGAAAGGGACCACTTTTGAGAAAACTCCCCTAAAGCAGCACACTGTGAAGAAATACTGACCACGGCAGAAGTGGCAGCTTAGCCAGAGGTGTGCAGGGCAATCTGAAAATAATTTGAGTTTAGATGTTTGGTTTTATTTTCCTAGGAGCAATATATCTTCATTCACGATGCGCTGGTTGAAGCGATACTCAGTAAAGAAACAGAAGTTCTTGAGACTCACATTCATGCCTATGTTAATGCTCTCTTGATACCTGGACCAACAGGAAAGACCAGACTGGAGAAACAATTTAAGGTGAGCTCTCTGAGATAGTAACATTTTTGAATGACTTAAAAGTAGGTATCTCAACACAAGTTTCAGTGGTTTTCTCTATCTATAATTTAACTGCATACTTCTCAAAGCTACACATGCCCAGACCAAAACATCACAGAAAAGTCTTCTGCATTCTTTTGAAGATTCTGATTAATCTGGTTGATTTTACTACCAATCAAAAAAAAAACAACCCTAAAAACTAGGAAAAACCTGCTTTCCAAACTTATGTCATGCCTAAGCAGTATATATACACCATTGTGTGTGTATATGTATACATATACATATATACACGTATACATATACACACATTCCTTTTCATACTCTTGTCTGTTTGAATTGTATTTGTTAAAACTAGTTAGTCAATGAGACCTCCCAGATCAGTCCTATTTTCCTTTCGCAAGTTTGGAGAGAAAATCAAAAAGCTCATAACTGGAATGTCTAGAGCTGCCTCACATCAAGAGCTATACTGTCTGTATAATTATGCAAATTTTTCTGTTTTCCAAAACTAATTAAACTTAGACAACTGTGCAGGCAAAATGGAAGTGATACCGGATGGCAAGAAGCACTGGGGGACTCAATATGGAACTTAAAGTGGCATTTCCTTCAAAGACATGCTTATGGACCTAGGGCACAAGAATCATTTGAACAGATATCACAGAATCACAGAATAACAGTGAAAAGATTCTGATGACTTGCTAAGTAGTTTAGCCAGATAACTAGATACCTAAAGTTAAGAGAGACAGCTAACCTGCAATACATTTGATGCAGCTAATGAAGGAATCACTTTTGTACAGTGGTCTGATTTTTTTTAATATCATTGTTTCAGTTACTGAGCCAGTCTAACACACAGCAGTGTGATTATTCAACTGCACTCAAACAGTGTAACAGAGAAAAGAACCGAACTTCATCCATCATTCCTGGTGAGCTTGTTCAGATCAGCTTCTTTGGGTGGCAAAATGTTTGTGAACTGTGAGTCAAACCTCTAAGCTTTCCTCAGCAAGAACTGGAAACACCTGCATTGGTGTGGAGCAATGTTCTCTAAAGTACTTTTCGTGAAGAAATTATTTAAGTACTACACATAGGAAAACAAAATAGATGGCTGTATAACACTTTACTCTGATTGATGGAGCTTAGTGTTATCATTATTAGTGTTATTATTATTACTATGAGATATGTGAGATAATTGCTATAATACATGAGTCATTGCAACACACGTACTAGTTCATGACTTTTTTTTACAGTGGAAAGATCTAGAGTGGGTATCTCATCACTGTCTGGTGAAGGGACAGACTACATCAATGCTTCCTATATTATGGTAAGTCAGTTAACTGTATTGGTGAAAAACAGTGTCCCATTGTATAGCTGTTTATAGAGCTGCCATGTGTCCATGTTAGGGTGGCACAATCCTGATTTTGAAAGCTCCCCTCTTCCATTATTCACTCAGTCTGAAAGAATTACTTCCCCCATGAAGTATTGGTGGGTTTAAGTTTGGTTAAGAGCATTGCAATCTGTAGAACCAGAAATCCCATAGCAGTTTTAAAAACTAGTATAGTTAAATGCCACCTGTAGAAAGACCTTTTGAGATGAACTAAAAGTGTTAACAAGTTAGTTTTTAATGCCTGTACTGTGCTTTGCCTTCTTGTGTGTACTCATTCTACAGAGCTTTTGCAGCTGGCATAGCCCAAGGCACTCTAGCTCATCAGCTTTCCATTATTTTTTTGTTCCTTGGGTTTTCTTCAACTCTTTTCCCCTTCATTAGCTGAGAGGGAGGACTAAATGCTTCCTGGACATTCAGGAAAGAGATGGGAAAGCTCCCTGCAGTGCTTTGTTTGCATGAGCCTTCAGCAGGTGCCTTAATGCAAAGGAACTCTCTTTTGTGGTAAGAAGCTGATCTGAGGCATCTGTACAAATTAAGAGACCACTTGGGATTTTTGAAGATCTTTCTTTCATTTGTTTCCGGTTACCGGCTTCTCTAGAAGTCTCGATAATGCAGAACAATTAGCATATGTGTATGAGTTAATGTATTTTCATTATGAGTTGTCTGTTCAAGTCTCCACTGATTTCTTTTGGGTTTTTTTGGGTTTTGATCAATTTTTTAAAAAGTTTTAAAAATTATTTCAGTGTAATTGATTTTATTCTTTTCATCTGGAAAATACTGCAATGGCAGTTTTATATTCTTCTAATATTTGTAGGAAGCCAAAGGAGGCACAAGTCTGCAATTAATTTTCTAGGCTTCTGGCTTTGTCCACTGAAAGCTTCCTTTAAATATTAATAGCTGGGCATCAGTTCTGAGTCTGTTGATTTTGTTTTGCAGGGTTATTATCAAAGTAATGAATTCATTATTACCCAGCATCCCTTACTACACACTATCAAGGATTTTTGGAGAATGATATGGGACCACAATGCCCAGCTAATAGTCATGCTTCCCGATAGCCAGAATATGGTAAGTTTTGTTGGTGATTGTTATGGGTTTATTTATGAATTTTATTAGTATTGTCATTTTGAAATATACAGGACATGAGACAATATCTTAGATTTTGGAAAAAAAGTTAATAATACTATGCTTAATGTAAAATCCTTAAATCATCTAGTGGAATTCTGGAGATCCTTGTCTCGGCAGATTGCAACCAGCATGAGAAAGCATTGAATCATTCCTCTATAATTTATTAAAATACCCAAACAGCAGCAGTAACTGTTACGAAAGGTTAGTTTTCACCCCAGGACTTTTACTTTAGTTATAATACGGCTTCTTCAGCAACTATTATTAGGTAAAGAGAGAAATAGGAGATTGTTTCTCTTGCTCATCCCCTAGAGTTACAAATAAATGTTTAGCAGGGATTTATCTGACTCTAAACAGCAAAGGAAGCTCACATGTTCATCCTGTATGTGTAGTTTAATAACAAATGAATATGTTTTTCAGTTACTAGAAATGCAGGACTAGCTGAAAGCTATTGGTACTTGGGGAAATCTTGAGATGTGAGAGGACATCCTGTTTGGTAATGAGCTTGGTGGAAATTCATGCAAATTCTTTGGAGAGTCTTGCGTGACTGGAAAAACATGTACAACCAAGACAATATTTGGTTTTTCTTCTTCTCATCAAATGTTTTATGAATGTCACACTTCCTATAAAACAGATGGGTTGTTAAGGTAGCCTTTGTAATAATGGAGGTTGTTTTGCCAGGAGGTGCTGGTTTATTAGAAGCCCAGTAGGAAAGGCACTCAGACTCTGTAAAATATCATTTAAAATGCTCTTTATTAGACCTAACACTATAAAGGAGAGGGTAGTGCAGATAATCTTACAGCCCATCAGATGCTAGTAACCCCAAGTTGTACAGCATTGACTGGACCTGTGCTCAAGGTACATCATGTCACGCAGCATCCATGGAAAGATTACCCCCATTTTGGTCACTCAAGCTAGTATATGTTTTTTTCTTAAAAGTAAACAAGTCTGTTCATAATTTCTGCTGTCAGACTGAAAGGATGTTCTCGTGATGACTCCTTGCTGCACTTTTAGATAATCCCAAGGCCACGAAGGTGGCACAGTTGCTGGTATTGATTGGGAGCGGCCCACAGGCTCCTCTCTTACAATCCAGCAGCTATGTTCATCCTGTAGCCATGGGCTATGGGCCACACAACACAGCCTGAAGGCCAGGCTGGACATGTGGCACAGTGTGACACAGCACATGTTGACTGTCATGTGGAACGCTTTCTACACAGGGTACAGTGGTCTCCTGGTCAGGATCACTACAGAGGTGTCTGAAAACCATCACTTGTGATGTTTTTAATCTCACTCAAATTTTGATTTGTCAATTTAAATCTAGCTAGTTGCATTGATTACATACATGACACATTACTTATTGTGTCGGATTAAGTTTTATTTTAAGAGCTCAACATTACTTACTTTTATGGCTTCTTTTCTTTTCCTGGAGGCTGAAGATGAATTTGTATATTGGCCAAACAAAGATGAGCCTATAAACTGTGAGACTTTCAAAGTTACTATGATTGCTGAAGAACACAAGTGTCTGTCTAATGAGGAGAAGCTCATAATCCAAGACTTTATTTTAGAAGCTACACAGGTAACACTGTCATAACCATGTAACTCAGTTCTTGATTTGTTAAAGGTAATCCCTACATTTTGTTACATTTTCTATGATAAATGAGTGATAAAATTCCACGCTCTTGAAAAACCCAGGGAGCGAGTAACCTCTACAGGTAACATGGTGGCATTGGAATAGGATAGTCCAACCTCCACAGTGGTGGGATTCTGTATCTGGAGGCTGGAGCCAAACTGGAACAGGGTAAAGGATAAAAATACAGTCAGTCAATCTCTTACCAATTTTTTTTTCGCTCTTTTAGGATGACTATGTGCTTGAAGTGAGGCATTTTCAGTGTCCAAAATGGCCCAATCCTGATAGTCCTATTAGTAAAACTTTTGAACTGATCAGCATCATCAAAGAGGAAACTTCCAACCGTGATGGACCCATGATTGTACATGACGAGTAAGAATACAACTTTCAGTTTTTTCTGAAGTTTTTCTGTAGAACTATTCTTTCATCTCACTTAAAGTGAAAGCCACTGAAATGAGGCACAAAGTCTGCACCTAACAGTAGTGCTGCTGCTTCTGTTTCAGCTGCATCAACAGGAGAAACACTTTTATTTTATCACACTTCAATGTTCTCTTTTCAATTCTATCATTTTGATACTCTGGATGATTGCCGAGTAGGGCACTGAATCCAGGCTTCACTGCCTATTATTGAAAGAAGAAAGACTATTTAGATGAGGCAGTTTACCCTTCTCCAGCTGTTTAATAATGGCCAAAAATACTGAAATGTTGAAATACTGAAGGACCTGAGGCCTTCAAGATTTGGTTACTAGAGGACTGTAG